TTGTGCGCAGTCACGCGACTTTTTTCTATTCTAAATTCAATTGAAATAGCAAGTTTCACAATATAAAAAAGATCGACAATCGATTTTGTCACATGTGATAAAACGAATGTCCACTATGCTTGTTATGTGCCTTAAAAACTTTGTTTCTCATCTAGTTTTTGATAGGACCAAGATCTGAGGATCTTATTTTGCCCAAACATAAAGAAAAGAATAAACAATTTATCAATATAAAAAAATAATATGCAAGATGCACCAGTTTTTTTGTAACGATATTCATCTTTTTTTTACTTTAAAATAATTGAAAATTTCTGTTTCACAATATAAAAAAGATCGACATTCAATTTTGTCACTTTGTGATAAATAGGATGTCCATTATGCTATGCAAACAATACAAACATAATGGTCTAAAAACCAATAAAAATTAAATTCTAGTCATAAATTTCTAATTTAGTAAAAATGTACTTTGAACAAATCAACAGATTATTACAGATTATTAACAGACTATGAAAAAGCAAGTTTAATGGTATTTCTTTCAGTTATTATAAACCAATTTATTTTTAGAAAATGTAACATAGATATAATAAGAAGTATCTTGTGAATTCATTTGTAACATATAATGAATTGATCAGCAGACTATTATGGAATTGAATTCCGATATGGAAATATCCCTGACTGTATTAATTCGTGGTCCACCAATTAAGGAAAGGATTTAATTAGTGCCGATCTGGGCAAATTTTTTAAATTTCATAGTGAAATCAAATTAATCAAATTTTTCACACCCACAAAAAGTCACGCATTTATTATGTTACATGTATTATTTTTTATATCAAACTATGTTAAACAAATGTGAAATATTATATTTATTTACGAAAGTATGAGTGTCAAATTTGTCACTGTTCTGTTATTTACTGAGCGGTCCTGAATTGTGGGTATAAAATTCATATATTTAAATATACAAATTTATTAAAAATGAAGAATTTGTTTCAAAATAATAAATTCTAGAATGCTTTAACATTGATAATATTAGAAAATAACTTTAAAACTCTTAACTACAATTATAGTAAGCAAGTATATTAATATGAAAATTTTAAATTATTAATTATTCATTTATTTTTATTTGACTCTCTTCTAAAAGTTTCTGTGCTATTGATTTTTTATAAGAAGCAGCAAAACGACTTATCCATCCTTCAATTGTTTTGATTGTTGGCAGCTCTTCAGAAGTAAGTTCACCAAATTCTACTCGCTCTTTGCAGAAAATCATTGACTTCTATCCATATTTCCAGAAAGAAAGTATATTTGTAAATATTCTTTGACTTTGTCACCAATTTGTTTTTTACCTCCCTTTTTACCATATACTTGGTTTTCTTTCAATGCCCATCCTATCACAAAATAATCAACTCTAGAGGAAAATCAATAAAGCCTATTGTTAGTGAATTTTGAAGGTGAGTTTGAAAAATTATTCTATTTTTAAAAATGCTTACTGGATCACATCAACATCATTTTTTTCTATGACATCATTATGATCTAATGTTTTTTACATTTTTTTATACTCTTCTCCTTGCTGAAATCATTTATAGCCTCATTCTCATTCTCTTGTGGGATTGATAATTTTGCCTCTACAAATAAAGGTATAATAATTATTTACATTCTACAAATATATATTCTGTCTGTTATGTAAATTTCATACCTATAATTTTTTTTTTTGTTTCATTATCAATTGCTTCCTGCAAAAGAGCTACTAATTCAACACGATTATTATCATTATCAATTTTTATATTGCGTTTTGCCATTTCTTCTTTAATTTTATCAATAGACCATCGACTAGGATTTGAAGCTGTGATCATTTATATATTGTTAGCAAAAAGTATCAATTATCTATTCATATATACAGATTACTACTTACTATTATTGCTCGGCATTGGAATTATCCATTTAGAAGTCGGAATGGTGTGATCAGATAATATTGGAGTAGGTTTTTCTTGTATTTTATTATCCATTGTTTTTTGAATAATAGCTGGAGAAAAGTTTTTCCATTTTCCAAAATTTGGTAAAGAGCGAGCACAAAGATATCCTGCATATTCACCTTCAACTGGCCACCGAAATTCAAACCAATTTGATATTCCAGGTAAAGTTGGTTTTTTTTTCTTTTCAGAACTTCTATTTGGTTCAATATTAGCCACTGATGTACCATGAATACCTTTCACTGCAGTTACAATATCTTCACCTTCTGTTACATCATAACCCAATCTCACATATCGTTTTATGGCATGGGAAATCTATAAAATAATTTTATAATGTCACTAAAGGTAAAAATAAATTAAGAAAAAATTTTTTTTAAATACTTGTGCATGGTGTGAGTCAATTGTTGTTTTTGCTTCTCCTGGTTCCAAAAAAATCCACTGGCGTACTTCTACATTATACCATTCTTTCCAATGACTAATTATTGACATAAGTTCTGAACAATGGTAATGAGCACCATTATCAGATAACACTTTAATCCAAGATGGTTTCGTTTTTAGTGTATTGAAAACAGCATCAAAAGCAGAGGCTGTAAACCAAGCATCTTGAATTGTATCAGAGGATCAATGGTCAAATGCTTTTATATTTATCTTATCATCACCATCTTTTGTATATATTAACATAGTATGTAATGTCCATCCTTTTTTCCCAAAAAATTCAGATTTTACTTCTTGTGCAGATTTTGGCAACACTTTCATTTTATAATCTACAACAATAATTGCTCCATCTTTATCCAAAGTTAGTATTGCTGCATTGAATTGAGCATTCAGGTAAGTTTTTCTTGCTTGATGTGACCAATAACATTGCAATTTCTTATGATTTTCTAATAAAGTAGTTATCTCTTCAGGTAGCAATGTTACTAGTTTTGCAAATAAATTTTCTAGATCTTCACATTTGGAACAGGTTTCTGGATGTAATTGTGAGCATTGTCCAAATGCATAAGGTAGACAATGTTGAATGCAATCCACATGGTAAGTATTCCCTAATGTATCAAATTTTAACTCTTTTCCGTATTCAAATTTTAAGTGACATTGGGATAATTCAAGCTCACCAATCAAAATTTTCTAATAGTTTTCATTTGAATAATTTAAAAATCCTGAAATTCAAGGTAATCAAATTTAAAAAAAAATATTTTTTTTTCACTAACCTGCTGATTATCATTCCTAACTTTTGTTTTCACCAACTCTAGGAGGTTAGAAAATATTTCATAACCATATTCATTACAAATTGCACACAATCCACCTAAATCTTCTTGATACTTGAATTGTCCATTTTGCAAACGGGCCATGAAACTAGATCTTTTCATGCCATTCGGATAGAGTTCAAGGTATTTATTCCATAAGGATATTTTATTTTCTTTGAGGTAAAGTATAGGTAATCCTGTTTTTTGTTCAACCTTGTATGAACTCATATTTACATTATTTTTATCTGAAAAAAATGACTGAAATTGATCTAACATTTCATTTGTCATGTGAGTACGTGTAATTTTTGGTTTATCAATACACAGGCATCCTGGTCCATTCATAATTAAATAAGTCTTGGCATGAGAAATGGTCTTGGAAGAAACCTAAGAAATAAAAATTAGTGAATAAGACTAATTAGAAATTCTTTGTAAAGGAAAATTTTCAATTTTAAACCATACATTTAAATTCCTCTGCAGTTCATTATAAGTGAATCGGTCAGCAATTATTGATAAAATACGTCTTTTCCCATCATTACCACGTTTATTTTCATCAATAGAACGTTGAAAGCAATACCAAAATTCATTACTTGAACTAGAGGCATCAGAAGGATTTGAGTTGAGAAATTGGTTTTCATAGAGCATCTTCAATGTAATTTTATCATTAGAGGGATCAAATGCTCGTGTCCAGAATTCACACTAATAATTAAAAAAAATTATTTAATATTAAAGTTTGAGATTAATTAGGTCATAAATCATTAATTTAATTACCATTGACTGATTTTTTTCAAAAGGTGATATCTTTGTACACCCAGTGGCTTTCAACATTGCTTGCCATGCCTTCATTTCACGTTGATTAAACACATATCCTGTAGGATAAAGGTTTTTTAAAGCTATATTCAGCTCAATAATAGTACTTTGATTCTTCCAAGTTTCAAAAAAATAGAACCAATTAATATTTGCAATTGTTCTTTTTTTTAAATGATAATTAAAAATTTGATACATTGTATCCTCATCACTCCAAAAAGTTGGATTACACTTGGGAATTTGTTGATTAGCCAAGCTTTGACATGTCATTGTATGCTCTAATCCAAAAAGGGCTTTTCCATTTATTTTTTTCATGATCCCAGTTTTCTTCCAAACTTCAACTGGTGTCAAACCAACAAAACTTTCAATTTTAATATTTTTTTCATAAATATTTATATGACATCCATCTTGATCAATTTTTTGAACAAACATTGATCTTTGCTTTTTATATTCGCCAATAAAAGATGACATGTATCCTATTCCTGCTCCATCAGTATCAGCATTTTTAGAAATTCCTAATGATATAATATAAATTTTAAATTTGTCTACTTTGATAACAAATGGACGAAATTGTACATCTTCCAATGATGCTTCTAAAATGCTCTCATCCTCCCAACCTAACACTAATGGACCAGAATATTTCGTATTTGAGAGAGGATTTAATTTCTGATACAATGAAGTAATTGCTTTGCTGGAAGAACTTTCAATGTCACTAAACTCACTTTCAACATAACTTCTAAAACCAGGGAGTAATTTATGGTCTTTGTTACCTTCCAGCACTTGTGTATAATATCTTTTAGAAGTTACTTCAATAACAGTTTGCCAACCAACACGTATTGGGTAAAGAAATGCACCATTAGTTAAATCAACGCCATCTCTCATGGTCCACCAATGAATTGCATTGACACCATAATGTAAACTAGGCAAAATTGAACCACTAGCTATAAGTTTCGTATTAACAATTTGTCGTTTGCTCATTTTTAAATTTAGAAATGAGGGGCAGTTAAAGAAAAATAAATATATTATCCCGAATTTTATGTAGATCTTTTTTTATTTTCGCATTTTTTGTTGTTTGAAACTTTAAAAGCAAATAACTCTAAGCCAGAAATGTTCTACATAAGAAATTACATATAAGGGTCGTGTTAAATCAAAATTTCTTTCCAAACTAAAACAAACCAATCTGGTCCTCATATGTATATCATGTAATTTTAGAGTTATTTCTATAAATTTAGGTTGGATATAAAGTATTGTGTTATTTCACAGCGGTTCCAGATTATGGACACTAATTGATTTTACTATGATACTTATCCTGGAATTTTACTATGTAGATCCTTTCCTTCACTGATGGATCACGAATTAAGTGTTAATGTTGATAATGTTGAGTTATTATTAATTCGTGTTTCATCGATCATGTGTAGAAAAGTAATAATGATCTGCAGAGATAAGTTAATTATAATTTTTTCTTCTAAAAAAGAATCTCACGCTGTCTATATAATAAATCCAATGAATACCAATAAAAATTACCACGTAACTTTACTTTCTAAAGGTGAGATTGTTCCTAATTTACATTATGGAATAAATGCTAAAGAATGGTGGATTCAAGCTTCACCAAACACAAACAATATTTCACCACTATATCCACTCAGAGTTGGTATGAAAACTATAATAGAATTGAAAGGATATTATTTTGTTACTACTATTATTAAAGGAAATAGTATTAGTCCTGAATTGCCTGGTTATTGCTGTCAGTGTGGTTCATTTACAACTACTGTTGAAGATTCTTCTACTGCAGCAATTTCTAACTGTTACCAAAAATTTTTTAATGTTGGGACTAGATTTTCTGGCATAAAGGTTATAGGTTTTGAAGATCAAATAATTTTGAAAGAATTATTGACTGATATTAGTTTTCAACCACTATCAATTCTGCTAGATAAAATATCCATCAATATATTCAAAATGGGGTTTTCGTCAAATGAGGAATGGCATAGAGCAGGTGATGGCTATTTATCATCATTTTCATATGCATACAAGAGAACTAATTGCAATTTTATCCAAAAAATATCAAATGGATTATGTTATGTTGAGATTTGGAATAAATTGAACAAAGTGGGCAGTTTTGTTGAAAATACTCCCACAGCAGTTTGGCAACATATTGGAATTTTATCCAAGTATACTGGTGATCAACTATTTGGTTTGACAAATTCTAATATACAGAGAATTTTAGAAATAATGGAAAAATTATATAATCATCATCTTAAAAAAAAAACAATTTCAAGTGTTAATTGGTATGATCTTTTTTTAACTTGGTTAGATCAAAAGAGTGAAGTAATTGAATTATATACAAAATTATCAGAAATATATTCACCAGGACATAAATTTAGTAAACATGAAATTGAAACTTGGCATTCAATGTTGAGATCAACTAGTTGTAAAAATATAACACCTTTCCCAAGAAAAGAATCATATGTAAGTACAATTTTATTTGTTGATTATTCATTTATTATTATATTTATTTTTATTTGGATTATTATTTAATAAACACTATTTTTAAGTTTGAATTTTGGACTAGAGCTGAAGATGAATCCAAAAATAAAGAAACATTCAGATATTTATATGAAAATGGTTTTTTAAATTTATATCCAGACCAACAACAAGACTCAATACCAAAATTTTGGAAATGTTTTAAAGAATCATTAAAAAATAATAATAAAGGTAGTAATGGTATACAATGTATATTGTCAATAATTGCACAAGAGTTTTCTTATAAAGAATTACAAGATATGTTGAATGTAAGTTCTTTTATTTATCATGTTTTTATATAAAAATAAA